TATAATAAGTCTAATAAATTACTATTCTTGTCGACACAATTACGGCACACATTGTTAGACAAACAACTGTCCAGATTCAATAAGTTTTTACATGCACTCGTTTTTGTTGATACATTGAACAGCTTTCGGCGCTTACTTGGGTCAGTTATTTCGTTTCCACACTCGGTGCAAACTGTTTCATTCGAGGACAAAGAAATATCAATTCTTGAGAATGTTTTTGTGTTTTTGTAGACCAATTGTCGGCGCGGTGAAGTAATTGTATGAAATGTACACATACATTTTATGTCAAAATTATTCGCGCCAAAATTTTTAATGCGATTTAAATTCCTGCAAGGGACACAAGTCGACCACTCGCGACTTCGTCGCTCGGGTCGCGCCTTCTCTCCCCCGCGCCCTCCCTCCCCCATGGTCGACTTGTGGCAAGTCTAAGTCAAGCCATGCACAGAACTGACTAATTAAATCTTTGTTTGCTGTTCGCCTGTTCGGTTAAAGAGAGAAACTGACTCTTAATTATATAAAAGTACCTTGAATTTTTAAGTTTAATTAAAAAGCAAAATGCTCTGCGGACATGTTCATGAGAATATAATTTTTTTGTGTAACGAAATCTACAACACTTGTCAATCATATTGCATGTGTGTCTAAAAATAACATGTGGGCGTCCCACGGTCTAGACAGGTTTTGTGTCAGGCCCTATTTCAAATTAGGGCCTGAACTTCAGGTTACGATACCACCCGATACCCAACCTCGTACCCAGGGCCTTTGCGCGGTTCAGAGGCTCTGGTACGGGAAGCAAAGGCCCTGGTCACGTGTGTCCACACTGGTCACGTGTGTCCAAAAATATTGGACATTTCGTAATAATTTAGTTTTCAATCCGGGGGGAGCGGAACCGATTGATTTTGTCAAACATGGCAGCGTGAAGGCGCGACGTTTTCGAGTTTTATTATTTTACGATAAATAAAACTTTCCTAGTGAGATCTAAAATGGGTATATATTAAAACTATGCATTCTACGAGCTTTCTTTCAACAAATGGTGGAATAGCGAACGGTAATACTTATCAAAGATCAACGATCAAACTGAGAGAAAACTGGTCGAGTGATCTCACTGATCTGTCTTTTATTATAAAATAAACTGTCTATTTTGTATCCATGCAGCTGCTTGTGTGCGACGTTTTATAAAGAATTAAGTAAACATTGTTGATTAATAATGATTATAAGTAATGTTTACGTATTGACCAAAGAATATCACTTGGGATTTTATTGTACTTTCATGGAAGCATACATACTCAGTATTGTGCCTGTATAGTGAAAGGAACATCTATGGAAACGAAATTCTTCATGTGTAAACATGTAGTTATCAAAGCAGAATATTTTAACGGTGACAGGTTGGTTTCCGTATGTATGTAGTTTAAAATACAGTTGTGAATGAAATTATACACAGTATCTTGAAACCTTTGTGTGTGAGTTAATTTCATATTTAAATTTGGGATGTTTATTTCTCATTGTCTGGAAGAAGGGGGTAATGCGGGGGTACCAATCATGAGAAATAATATCCAATGATCTTGAAGTCCTGAAGGACATGTATAAAGTAACAAATTTATTAGGAATCTGATATATAAATGTAAGCAAAAACCAGACTTAGGAGTCTAAAGGCAAATAACAGTCTGTACTGGGTGTGTGTTCACCTATTTGTTTACATTTGCAGTTACATTAGTTCATGATTTACGAAATTTGATAATTTTAGTCATGGCAACAAGTCACTGATAATTTTAGGGTAAATATTTTTCTGAAATACTTCATTTGTCAGTTGTGTCTTATAGTATATAATAAATATCTTGGAAAAAAGGTGTAATTGTACCCCGTCTAATAGCTTTGGTTCAATGCAATTGGCAACATCAGCAATTGGGCTGTCTTAGAATTCATGAAAGACCTTTGCTACAACCCCAAGAAAACATGCCTTGTATCAGGAGATTAAATGCTCTGTTTCAACCAGATTCACCACACAATTGTTATTGTTACCATTGTGACTGCTACCCTTTTTACAAATAATACACTGATAGTTGAGCACCAAGATTGACATATCATACTGTGTTTTCAAATATCTTTGGCTCATAATTTCCATAATGATGGTCAATTATTCCACTTGCTGAGAATACTATAATTACTTCTTTCCCATGGAGGTAGGGCTTAACAGAGAGACATAGAGGCTTAATAAATATGGTTACACTGAATTTTATCAGTAAGTAAATTTCATTTTTTACATCGCGAAACAAAAGATCACCATATTATGCATGAATTATGTCACTTTCACTTGGCACAGAGTGCATGAACACACCAAATTCAAACATTCACTGGCTGTTTCTTGATGAAATAATCAACAGATTTTTTGTGCAAACAATATAATTCATGAGGGGAAAAAATGCATACTTATATGTGTGCACATAGTTTCAAGACCAGCTAGCAGGGTTGAAACCAACTTTCCCAGTTATGATTGGAGCTGATGAGAACATGACCTTATAGTTTTGAACACAAAATGGAATGGGACTTCATCTAGGTGGCAATATATTGGCATTCACCCACACCATGGCAATATCGCACAATATACAAGAATGCACCCATGCAGGTTCTGCCTTCTCACCAGCACAATTGATCAAGTCATACACATTCATTGCTGCCAATCTCTTTATTATTTATGTCTCATTACAATTGGTATGTACAATATATTTTCATTATCAGCAGTATCATTACAACTTGTGCATCACCAGTATCATCACAACTTGTATTTCACTAGCATCATCATTATTATTCTCACCATTCTACTTTTATTTATAGTCAATCACAATGAATCAAAAAATTTCCTATCACACCACTCATATTACTTAATTGCCCAAGGTTAAGGCCATTTCACAGCACTCCAGGATCTGAATACCTGCAACCACCTTTTCGATCTTATACTAAAACAGAAACAAACAACCATTGTCATACTGGAATATCATTGCCATAAAATGACTGTCATTTGAAACCACATTCTGCTGTATTAGTGACAGCACAACTGCTCCACAACTAAGGTAAATAGTAGGGATGTAGTAAGTTAATACTGATTACTGGTAATTGTCTTTTTACATTTTGCTCACAACCAAAGTCCAATTATATGGAGCAAGTATAGAATATCAAGCCACTTTTTATTATTCACTTAACCTTACAGTACCCTTGACAAGTAAAATTGTCTGGTGTTGGACAGAGAAAAACAACAAAGCATGCTGTATTTGTCTCCTTTGGATGGGCAAAATACTAAAATTGGGGGCTATGGAGATTTTATGGCAAGAGGTGGGGGAACATTTTCTCCAGTAGAATGTATATTGTTGGCCATTGGAATTTTTTAAAATTAAAAAATTAATGTAATCTAATTTTCTTGCATACAGAAAGTTAGGTGCTGGGTAAGGTTGGCATTTTCACACTTTTCTATTATCATCGTACTATTCTGTTAAGTTTTTAATGGATGAGTCAGAGACCAATGGTTGGAATGAGGGCATGCAGTTAATTTGTAATTCTTGCATGTATTCATCTATGAACTTTTGACTACTGTAATAGTCAGCCATTTAAATAAGTATTTTATTACGAAAGTCACCGAACTGTGGAATCGCATCAAAAATTCGTATATCGACCACTCCCACAAACGTCTACGACCGCGCCCACATATTTTTGCATGTTTACAATTCTAATTTTAAACAGCCAATCGACGTTTAATTGCAATTGTTACCAAGAACCTGATTGGCTGTTCAAAATTAGAATTGTAAACATGCAAAACTATGTAGGCGCGGTCGTAGACGTTTGTGGGAGTGGTCGATATACGAATTTTTGATGCGATTCCACAGTTCGGTGACTTTCGTAATACTAGGGTACAACTTGACGATTTTACATGTCAAACAGAACTCCAGTTATGAAAGACTGAAATTTTCTGAGCAAGCTGGAACAGAATTAGATTTTAGTGAAGGATGGAGATAACAAAAAATATATATATATATCAGGCATGAAGGAGGGTTTATATCCAAAAGCGAAAGATGGAGGAAAATTAGACGAAGAAAACTAATTATACAAACAGAGTGCCACAAATCTGCTGGAATTTAGGATATATAAACTGATAAATATTTGAGAATAATAATATAATTTTTATATAATATGCATCATAAAATCGTACCTCGAATATACTGCATTTGATCTTTATAGCATTCAAAATCCATGTGGCTTCAAAGTTTATAATTTCCATCAAAATAAAAACAAGCTTAAAATCTGCTGCCTATTGTTTTAACATATTAATTTTAAAACACTTGTTATACATTCATATTTTAAAAATCAAAGGCGAAATATGTATTTTTAAAATTTAGTTCGCCCATTGCAATGTTCAGTTGTTCATCCCCCCGGGATGACATGACTTTAATAAGGCCAGGTTACAAAAATGTCCAATATTTTTGGACACACGTGACCAGTGTTTACCAGGGCCTTTGCTTCCCGTACCAGAGCCTCTGAACCGCGCAAAGGCCCTGGGTACGAGGCTGCCCGATACCAGGCCCAAACACGAAGTAGTCGATACTGTACGGTATCGAAAAAGTGCTTCGATTACTTTTAAAATAAGACATTCATTATAATCCTGCAGTTGTGTCATCATTTTCATGGTTATTTCTAATAAAATTTATGTACTTTTTGGTATTTTGCTGCATTTATCAATTTAATCAAACTTCCTTTATACTTTATTTGACATTCTATTCTCGCCGACAGAATAAATTATGAAAAAGGCGGAAAATAAAGTAATTTTTGTTTTTTTATGGAACAAAATGGCGGATCAAATCGTTACTGTTAAAAATATGTAACTTTTTGAAAATTGGAGGAAGTAATCGTTTGGGTAATCGATACCTCGATACTTGAACCAAAAAGTAATCGGTATCGTATCAAAACCGATACTGGTGGTATCGCCCATCACTACTTGCCAGAGGGTTGCGCATGCGCATTAAAAAAGTGGGGACATGATTTGCCTCGAGTTCCGCCTCTGTATATCCGCCTCTGTATATCCTTACTCTGTATATCCTTACTCTGTGCCAGTTAAAATTACCAGAAGGCTTGATCACACAGTTGCAAAAAGTGTTTTTTCCTCCTTTTTTTCAGTTTTTATAACCTTGTTTCTAAGCACTAAAATTGAAAACATTTGATTGTTAGCGTAATGCCATAAAGAAAACATTCAACATGATGTATTTTTTATCGTTGCTGCAGAAAAAATCTGTAGATTTCAGAAGAAACAGCATATACTGACATTTAACTTTTGTGATTTTAATGAAAAGACCAGTGGCGGACACTTTACGATACTGGGGGGGGGGGGGGGGGGTGCTCGTGCTGAAGGCACGGAAAAATTGAAAAATTTGAATCCCGGAAAAGGCATTTGCAGCGTTCTGAGAACACATTTTGTAAAAAACTAGGGTTTCAAAACACTGTTTTAAGTTTTGTTATAAATCACATGCCAAGCCATGTACAGAAACAAATACTATTATACTATGATGACAATTACGTTATATGAGTGTGATTTGTGTTATTTGGTACTGGAACCAAATTGGTACTGGAACATAAGAACATTTATGACATAGAGAACATACGAAAATTTAACAATTATTCGCCGAAGACGAGGTGATTATCGATTTATCGGTGAATAAAAACCGAGACGAAGTCCAGGTTTTTATTCACGATAATCACCGAGCCTGAGGTGAATAATTGTTTTAGTATAATTTCATAGGTGATTATTTGGAAAAAAATAAGAAAATACACATTTCTTTGCCATTTAATTGACAAAAAGGCTTCGGCCGCCATTTTGAAAATCGCTTAGGTGATTATCGCATAATAATTGCCTCGACGGCAACCAATCAACGTGGAGAATTTTCAATAATCACCTATGTAATTATACTAAATGTAATTATGTGCGTATAATGTTGCTACTTTCAAGTTTAAATCTAATTTGCGTGGCGTGGTTATCCTCCGTCCAACGTTTTTAGTCCAGGATAAAATGTTTCGGAAATTCCTTAAAAAAATCCTCAAAAACCTAAATTCCTTAAAAAAATCCTTAAAACTCTTCAAAATTCCTATTTTTAAGGATAATTCCTTAAAAGTGAGAGCACTGTGTTTGACGTCCACGAAAATTTTAACTCGCTCACGTCAGGCCACGCCATCCTGGCTAGTACAGCCGGAAGTTTTTATCAGGATTTGGTAGGTAGAAAGTGCCGGTTGTACTAGCCAGGATGGCGTGATTGATGACGAATCGCTTGTAAAAACGCGGACAAATATTTGCTCGAGTTACGCTTCTGGTATAACTTCCTATTCTGTGATCAAATCAAGAAATGTTTGCTATTTCGCTGTCGTCATGCAGTCGTTATAATGCAAACTTTAAATTGAACCAATCAGTGTCCGCTGTTCATGACAGTCCGCCATATTTTTGAGATCAGTGAGGACACAGAGTATATCTTTACTCTGTGGTGAGGATGACCACCGACCGAAACAGAGTGTATCTAAAAGTCGAGGGTCGAGAGTCGAGAGTAAAGGTCGAGAGTCGAGAGTAAAAGTCGAGAGTCGAGAGTAAAAGTCGAGAATCGAGAGTAAAAAGTCGAGAGTCGGCAAATGTCATCAGAAACAACAAAGTCAAAAAACTTTTAACACAATATATAACTGATCCGTAACAACGGCTGATTATAGCCGTACGGGCGAGCGGGGGAGGGGGAGGCAGTCCCGCTCCCCAGTCAAAATAAAGTCATGCAAATTATAAACGGATAATTTCGGGCAAAAATTGGGAGAAATAAATTTAAAAAGAAGACAGTACATGCATTATGGTATTTGAAAATACCAGAAATATGTAGAAGTAACGAGGAATCGACAAATAGGAAAATATTTTTGTCTACTTCCCATTTCCCAACGACAATTTTGGAAATTTAGTTACACGGAAAATTTTATTCAGTGGGTAAAAAATCGGGTAAATTTCTTTCTGGCTCCCTGATTTTTTCCCGCCCGTACGCCTATGACGGCTGAACTAATTTCATTTCCTGTGTATCGGAACATAAAGCAAACAATATTTGCGAATTAAACATAATTTAGGGAAGCCTCACATATCGATTTTTTCCACGAGAAACGTCATATGTTCGTTTGGGGGTGGGGGGGTTGGCAGCTGTGACGTTTCTCTGTAAACATCATGGAAAAATTCGATAGTTTTTATCTTTGCAGAATATAAAAAAGAAAACAATTTGATACAAACAGCAGTCTATATATTCGTAATACCATACCTGTTCTATACCTATACATTTATATTATTACGCCTTCTTTGCATTTGAAAACACTCAATTTTCAAGAAATACCCGCTAAAATTATCAATATTTCATGCAAAAAAAGTTGTTTTGAGAAACGTTGGAAATTTTGAAGTTCACATATATATTAATAAAAAAAGAGTATGTCAGCAGAAGATGACATATTCCTCGCGGAAGCATCGCCAATAGCCGACCGAAAAAAATAGTAGAAAATTACCTTATGTGTACTCATAGTGTACTGTAAGAACAAAATATCGATAAATATGTGTGACGTTTCTAAGGGTGTGTGGGGGGGGGGGTCTCCAGAGAAACGAACATATGACGTTTCTCATGGACAAAATCGATGTGTGAGGCTTCCCTTAGTATGCTCAAATTCTCGAAATTAAAGTAAACAAGAGGCACATGCAATCAAAGGAATAATCCAGTATAATATAAAAAAAAACTTTCGCAAAAGTTTAGCCACAACATTCAATAATAATAACTATTATCTAATAACTAGTTTTATCGCTTCCTTATATATTACTGTCCATCCTTCCCGCTTTTACATGCACCTAATATTTCCGCGAAAAATTACTCATATGTGAAGCTACATAGAAATACTAGGACTTTACA